CTCCCATGGGTCCCAGAGATCAAACTCAGATTGTCAGGCTTAGCAGCAAGCATCTTTACCCAGTGAACCATCTTACCAGCCCTCCTCAAGTGTTTTTTTTTTTTTTTTTTTAATTACTGTTTTTTAAATGTATATAAAAACTGGCAGCATTGAAAGTATCTGGAAAAATCTTGATTTTTTTCAGAACTTGTACCACTAAACCCAAATAGTTTTGGTTTTAACAAATTGCCAAACAAGTTTGTACAAAACTAATTCTACACATAGCAAAGAGTTGCTAAAGTAATATAAATATATATATATACATACATATAACTATATATAGTTATATACAGTGCATATAATATTGATATATATAATTTTACTTGGTATATAAATGCATATAATTTTAAATATAAATGTATATACATGTTTTTAAATATATATGTATATATTTATATGCATTTAAGTAAAAAATATGGTCTATGTAGATAAGTTGGCAGAAAACTAGCCCAACCTGCTACATTATACCAAATACTTACTAATCTTTACATACTGGTTTCTAAAATTCATAACACTTAATAAAACAAATAACTAAAATTTAAGTTATGAGACATGATAGCATATTATTTATTTCAGCACACACAGTGCTGTTATTTCAGCACTCAGAAGGATGAGACAAAAGGACTATGAGTTATAAAAAGCTCAAAGCCAGCCCTGGTTACCTAGTAAGATTCTGTAGCAAAGACAAAAATGGAAAGAAATATAAAATAGTCCATGTTGTGTTCCTTCTATTGGAAATCCCAAGTTACAGTTGTTTTCTGTCCCTTTAAGTTGGTAAACCCTATATTTTTCCAAAAAGAAGACGGGTTGTAAGACTGGCTGTTCTGTGGAGATTGTTCTGGACTTTTAAACTGTTGTCAATGAAATACTGCCTTTTAAAGGTATAGTAAGAATTCCCAGCTGATATCATCCAGATGAAGAATGGCATAATAAAAGATAAATTTCCAGAAAAATAAACATTCCACAAAAGGCTTAGGATGATTTCACTACATTTGTACGTAAGTTCCTCTCCCTATGAGACAAATTTTAAATTCAAATGTTCTAAAGCCTCTACCACCCACCTCCCTCCCCAAACCACTGCTGGTGTGCCCTTCCTCACATGGTTATTTGAAATCATTTGCTACTGTTTTGTTTTGCTTTGCTCTTCTGTCTCTCCTACTAAATCTATGTGTCAAGAAAGCAATGACCACATCTATTTCATCCCTGTACGTCTAGCACCTAGAAACTGGTGAATAAAGATTTGTGAAATGAGTTTAGAAATATTTAAATGTAATTTGCCTATTTCTACCTAAAAGCCTACACATGCTATTACTGCATCCCACTCTCACCAACATACATGACACATATATGAATTCTCACCTGCCCCAACGATTTAAATAGGTAGATCCTCCCCTCACAAGTCCAGAGTCATTATAATCAGGGTTGTATTTAATTTTTATTTAATTCTCAGCACCCTGTATTATCTTCTCCAGTAAAGAGATGAAAATAAATAAATAAATAAAACTTCAAAGAAGCCACAGCCAGATAAATCTAGGAATAAAATTGTGTCTGTCTTACTTGGAATCCTATTGCTACCCTCCCTTTTACTGAACCTTCAGCTAAAATGATTCTTCTATAGTATTATGGATTCAAAGCACTGTGTTGTCACATGTCAGCAGCATAATCTTAGGCACTTCATACATTGATATCAATATGTCACACATATTGATATGTGTGACACATCAATATGTCAAATGTTTAAAAATTAAATGAAATTACTGTAAAGCACCTAGCACAGTGCCTGGCACTTAACACAGGAAACACCCACAAAATGTTTATGATTATCATTTTATTCCTATAAAACAGATCAAAATATTTTTCTACAAACGTCAAAAGCATGTATTTTAGGTTTCATGAGCAAACAAACAAACAAAAACCCCTCAACAATCTGCATTTGGGCCATAAATCACAATTTGCCAACCCCTTTTTTTCAGTATCAACATTACCAACACTGCGGGGCCAGATAGGCCTTTGTTTTAAATGGCTGTTGTAGGCACTGCACGATATGTAGAATTTCTGGCCTCTATCCACCAGATACCAGATCATACCCATTATGATATTCATCCAAAACTGTCCCTAGTAGAAAAGTACTGCTTTAGAACAAACAGATAAAGATGTGACTTGAATTTTCAATACCTTAACTGAGAGGAAAAAATAATTTGACACGCTAGAAATGTTTTTACTTACTTAGCTAAAAGTCCAACACTTATCAGTAACTTTATAACTTCTGTGACACACACGGCTGTGGTTGAAAAGTAGAGTTCTTTAGCTGTTGTCCTTGTGTATCTTAAAGCTACGGTATAAGCTGCAGCCACCAGAGTCATCACTGCCAAGCAGTATAGCTTGAAGAATAAACTGACATTTTCTGGAAAATACATGTAATAAAAATATTATTTAGTGTGTGTGTGTGTGTGTGTGTGTGTGTGTGTGTGTGTGTGTGTGTGTGTGTGTGTAGTCCATAATGCCTTCCAATTTCTAGCACCAAATATTGTTTTAAATAGTGACATCTAAAATTCAGTTTCCAAATAATGCTTTTCAGTTACCAAAACCAAATACTGCTGACTTTAAAACTCTATACAAATTAGGCACAGATATTGTTTAGTGCCTCCAACTGTACAGTTAGGTGACATACCAACCGTAGTTTAAGTTTATTGTAAAATATATTTATCTTTATGATTACAAACCTGTGAAAACAAAGCATCAAAGCAATTACAATACATTCTAAATCTCAAGACAGTAGAAAACAGACTTGAGGACTCTCTGTCTACATCTGTCATTCCACTGACAAGGGCTGATGTGGCTGTGTGGTCAGATGAGTAGTCTTGCCTTCCTGCCCCCCACCTCAAGGGCATTCCACCTAACACTCTAACTCTACCCTCAGTCAAAAAGGAAAAACTTTCCAGGTGGAAAAAGATCACTCCTCATCATGGGCATAAAGCATAGCTGAGCTCCCCTGCTAGAACCTCTAAATATCCTCTTGAAGATAGCAGAAAGAAAACAAAAGGAATAGCTGAGTGACCAAAGTGCAATTTAAGATCACTACAGTGGCATATGTGTGCAAACCCAGTACCCAGGAGGTTGAGGCAACAGGATTATACTCATGTACCTACTGGGGGGTGGGGGAGCAAAACAAATGTCCCTAGCAGAAAAGTACTGTTCTAGAACAATCTAATACATAAAGATGTAGCTTTATAACCAGCCTGGGATATATCCTAAAGACCCTGTCTCAAACACTGAAACACTGAAACACTGAAACACTGAAACACTGAAACACACACACACACACACACACACACACACACACACGAGAGAGAGAGAGAGAGAGAGAGAGAGAGAGAGAGAGAGAGAGAGAGAGGAGAGAACTAACTCAAAATCAAGAACAAATTATATCTAACCTCCTTCAGTTTCACTCCATTACCTGAAAGTAATTGGTTAACACAAAAAGTACCTAGAAAAACATCTATAAAACTTGAAATGCAGGATATAGCAGCCATCACTCAGGTGCCAAAGATAGTCCAACACCTTTGGTAAATTTACAATCACACTGGGGAATCCACCAACACCCCACCCCACCCCACCCCCGTGCTTCCTGCTCTGATAATGGCACTACCCAAGGCTCAAACTATTTCTGTTTTCTTTTCATGACAAAACTTAGGGTATCATGTAAGATTTATATAAGAAAGCCAATTCTCACAATTGATTTTCATTATTTATAAATGAATCTAATCCTTGTAATTGAGATCTACTCGTGAGAATAAAATTATTTAGAGGTAACATTTCATTTACTTGGTATTCAAAGAAAGTGTTTTGTCATCAAATCAATTGCACACTGGAAACACTGTTCTTAGCTTATGGGCCATACATAAATAAGCTTATTAAGTTGGGTCCTACTTTGCTAATCCCAGTTTAAGAATCATAAGGACATTGAGTGGACTTAAGGATGCTATTTTTTAACTGTCTTATGTGTTAAATATGCTTTTGTTCCATCCTTTGGAATCATAATCATAGGTAATTATACCTAATCATAGGTAAATAAATTAGGTGTTTCAAACAGATACTTAAAAATATGACTATTAAAACTTAAGGAAACAGAGTATTCAGATAAATATTTCCTCCTTGGTGAATTAAAGAATAATTTGTAAATTATAGACAAATTCTTAAAATTATACCAAAGAAGTAATATGAAAAGCAAAATCTCTTATAAATATTTTTCTTTCCTTTCTAAAAGGCTCAACAAGCCAGATAAGCAATAAGTGAAGAAAGCCTCTATAATACTTTCATTGTTCTAAAACTTTCTTATGAAAGTTTATGACTCCAAATATATGCAGCAATAACATTTCATCAGTCAGTACAAGAGAAAGCAAACTACATCATCCCATATTTTATATGATCACATAGAGTAGCTTTATAATTTCAACTGAATAGAAAAATTCTAAGTCCCATCTGAAGACATATGGAAATTATAAATTCAGATTTCAGTGTCCATAAATGAAGTGTTATTGGAAGACAGCTATGCTCATTTGCCTAAATTATCCTGGCTACATTTGTGCTACAACGGCAGGGTTCAGCAGCTATGGCAGAGACTAACAGGTCTCTACAGAAAGTTTGCCCATCCATGTCCTGAATTATCAATATTCTCATAACTGAGGAGTGCAAACTCACATATAGATAGGTATGATATAGGTTCCTGGTTCCAAAAACAAGATAGTGAATGTTTAAATACTAAAACATAGCATTTACTCCAGGAAACATACTATTAAAATTTTTCCTCTTGCTCTCCATGTATATCAGGCTGGATTGAATTTACTATGTAGAGCAGGATGGCCTTGAACTAATGGAGCTCCAGGTGCCTTTGCCTCGTAAGTGCTGGGATTGATAGCCATGAGCCATTATAGGTTTTTAAAACCACCTATATGATGCAATTATTTGCCAATGTAGTTCTTGAAAATAACTACTAGTCAAAGTAGAAAAATATAAATTTAGATGCTATAAAAGGTACAAGACTTTGGTATATAATACCACTTTAGAAGCATATTTCAACTTTTAAAACTAGTGTTTTTTTAACCATGACTTTCACTGACATTTCAGTTCCATTAGATCAAAACATTTCTTCATTCCCAATTTTCCAATTTCATTTATCAGGAATTTCGTTTTCGGGATAACATGAAAAATCCATGGTATGTAAGTAACTTTTAAACTTTCCTAAGAATTCAAATCATGACAAGCCATAAACTAGAAACATGGCCCACAACTCACCTAGCACCCCCCTCTTGCCAAAAGCCCATTAGCTTCCATGGCATTTGTTTCTGGGTGGGAAATATCCCCAGAAGACAGTCAGTCTGGAGTTAAACTTTTGTTTTCCAGTTACATTTTATGGCTATTATTTGTCATACCTGAAAGCTTGGACATTTCAAGAAGTAGCTGACAAATAATCTTTGAGAGGACTCTATGGAGGCATAGAAACTATATCTATATTAGGATCAAACGTGCATCATAACCAAATGTAACAAATTATGTACTGACAGTCTAAACCTGTGAGCTGTTATCAACACTTTAGGAATTGATTTTCCTTCTGTAATGTTTAAGTGCTCATTTATCATTCGCCATACCATCCCCTTCTACATACTACCAAAACAGCTTTTTCTCATTACTCCCTTCCTGGGTTGCTACAGGACTTACCTGAAATGGGATAATCAATCCATAAGAGAACAAAAATCACCACAGAAAACGTATCTGGCGCCTGATGGTGTCAACTCCCCCCACAAGATACATAATTTCACGTCCACGCACAAGGACATTCTTTAAATACTTGTCCAACATTTATTGAGACTTAAAGCCAAGTGCTCTTTGGGGGAAACGGTGACAAAGAAAAAAATAGCGATATACCAGATATGGTGGTTCAGACCTTTAATCCCAACAATTGGGAAGCAGAGGCAGGACTGTCTCCCTGAGTGTGAAGTCAGCCTGTGCTACAGAATGAGATCCTCCTTGAGGAGCTGGAAGCATCCCTGGAAGGAGAAGACTCAAGCCTGGAGTTTATTTAGACCTTGTTCCTTGTATTCCTGGATTCAGCATCCTTGATCTTGACAGCCCCTCACCTTGGCAGCTAACCTAAGCTAGTCATTCTAGTTCATCCCCTTACTTCTGGGAGGGACATTAAGAAGTAAGCACTCAATATCCACTGCTGGCAGAGAAAGCCATCAGGTAGAGGGGACATCCAGGGGATCTTTAGCAGGGCTTTTCTGCTGCCTCCCTTGGCATCCTCCTTCTGTTGGCCTAATTGTGTGATCACAAGTGTGAGCCATAGGCCCGACTCCAGGATGCAGTGGTGGGGGTCAGTGAAGGGAATGCAGTGTGCCTCTATCTCCAGGTACCATCCCTGTGTCATCTCTGGCTGGTACTGGGGATAACTTCAGTGGTGACAGGGAATTTAGCTCACCAGTGAGCCCCTGTCTCTGGCATGCTGTTCATCCGATGAGAATTAGGCCTTGAAAAGGATTTTGAAATGCTCTTGGTTATTCGTTTGTGTGCAAACCGTTAGAAAAGCTCTGAGAACTCGAACGTCTGTAACTTTCACCTCCATCACGGCCTCCCATTTGTTATCTCTTGGATAAATTTAGTATATGTTATATACTGCTCGGAAGTTTTGTGTCTGTATCTTCAACATAATAACAGTCACGCTGTAGCATCTCGTGGTAACTACATGATCTTCGGACAACCAAAGGATGTATTAATAGGCACTTCAACCACTGTAATGGTTACTGTGATTAGAGGATGTTATTAGAAAATAATTCCATGGTGAAATGACTCGTATTTAAAATATGTGTATTGATGTGGTGTTGGTGCCTGTCATTCCGGAATTTGAGAGGCCTAGACAGGAGAAATCTGCGTTCCAGATTCAGTCTGGGCCACTGTACCAAGCACATAGAAAAAGACAACATCAGCCCTTACAGTAACAGGGATATGGGATTCTGAGATACCCAATAGCTTCAGCCTTTACTTGTTGGGCAATGTTATTTTAAGGTGTGTGACTTTTGTTTATGCTGCATTTGTTTAACTTTGTGAAGCTGTGATTCTTTGCCTAAAACACCTGATGGTCCTAATGAAAACCTGAATGGCCAATAGTGAGTTAGGAGAAAGGTTAGATGGGGCTGGCAGACAGAGAGAATAAAAAGAAAAAGAAACAAGGAAGAGGGGGAGAAAGAAGAAAGAGAGGAAGACATCAGCGGGCAGCTACCCAGCCAGCCATGGAGTCAGAGTGAAAGACACAGACCCACAGAAGGAAGAAAAGGAAAAAGCCCTGAGGCAAAAGATAGTTGGGGATTATTTAAGGAAAGATGGCAAGAAACAAGCCAAGCTAAAGCCAC